GTGGAGGTGGGGGTGAGGTGGGGGGGAGAAGGAGGGTGAATGTGGGACGTCGGGGCCCTGTGGATGAATGGCTCTGACAATAAATGCCCTCAATCATTGGTAGACATTGTACCTTAGGAAAGAGAGTCAGATTCAGTCAGAGAGAGTGTGTGTGTAGGTATTTGAGTGTAAGTGTGTGTGCCTTAAAGAGAGGCGGAGAGCGCATGTGCACTCTTACACCCACTGCAGCTTTTCAGCAGCTCATCCTCTTGCACATTCCAAGTAGAGGCAACAGCAAACAAATGGCTTAAGGTTCAAGTGAAGTATGTTTCATTCCTTTCTCTGCTGTCTCCGCCGCTCTTAAAGTCTCGGGTTGTGCTGCGAGCAGGGACAGGGGTTAGACGCAAGGTCAAAGAGGAGAGGATTACTCAAGATACACTTCAGATAAAAGTGTCAGTCCGATAATCGGCAGTGATCCATCATGTGGCAGGCTGTGCTTTTAGGCTGCTGTTGCCATTGGAGGATAAAAAATAGCCTTCGTGCGTGGGTAATAATGAAGATGAAACTACAAAAAGACAAATTCCTCGAGACAAACTCAAATCCTGCTCATTTGTAAAGGCTGTGAGAGGATTCAGAGCCTTCATTCCTAATTGTTTCTTGCTGAGACCAACACTTTTTTCTCTCTCTATCTCTGCAGAGGGTCAGGCACATTGTCCCCTGAGATGATGAGGGTTGTTTTTCCGGCTGTTTGCTGAAATGCCTTCACAGCTACCAGTGAAGGTGGTAATTTGAAGTCCTGGCTCGCTGCTCTCCAACTGAATTGAATTCACATTTCAAAGACAAATATGTGTTGAATTTCAATAGAGAAGCTGGAGCTGCATTTCACATTCCATCGACTTAAACTTAGTCTTATCCTGTGCATGAAACTTATAATGTTACCCGTAAACAAAACTCCCCCCGCACCGCCAACGACAGTCAGGTGCTTGTAGGTTGCAGGACCATCTGGAGAAACATCAAAATTAACCACCGCCAAATGTAATGTAATGTTACATTTGTATACCTGTATTATTAAACAGTAAACATTCTGATGACATTTGGAGCCATCGTCATCCTTTAGCTATATGCTGAATCAACTTCTGTTGATTGATCTTCGATTAATTGATCATGGTTTCAGCTACTACCGCTGCCAGTTATACTGCTGTATTCACTGTCCTGCATTTACAAATGAAATGCATAGATTTATGGATTGATCACAAACATCCTTCCTGTAGTGACGGTTATAGCCTCTACGTTTCTTTTAACGGAAACTGACTGTATTTGTAATATATGTTGGGTTTAATATGATCCTACTTTACTTGATGTTTGTTGTTTATCGCTATGGCGTACACCTTTTTAGAAAATCATAAATTAAAATGGGTTGATAAGTTGTAACTGGCTTAATTTGTGGTGAATACATTATTTACAAAAATCTGTTAAAAGCCTTAACGATCTAATTTTTGGTTGCCATGTTGTGGTTGGTGTTTATCCCACTCCTGTAGGACACTTTTTAGTTTTTTAACTCATCAGGAAGACCCCTCCAATATTTGAATTGTCTATTTACTGGTAATTTAACTGGGACAAAGCTCATATAAACTGTAAATACTACAGGTAGAGATCATTTGACCTCTGACCTGATGTTCAGTTTATTTTTCATTCTACAAATGATATTTTATTGTTGCACCTTTAAATAATGAATAATGTCCTCAGCGTTACTAACCAAACTCGGTTGAATGTTTTTGTTTTAAAGAAGCTTTCATGCATCTTTATGTGCGACGTCCCTGAACTTTGAGCCAGGGAAATATTCCAAATATCTGAGCTGCAAACACGAGGAGAAGGTGAGGTGAGGCGCTAGAGAGAAAGGCAGAGAGAGAGCAAAAGAGGGAGGGAGGGAGGAGGGCAAAGTGTGTGTGTGTTTGTGTGTGTGTGTGTGTGTGTGGAACAGAGAGTGAGGGAGGGAGGGAGGTGGTGCAGAGAGCCAGGAGTGAGTGAGGCGACAGAGCGGAGGTGACAGCGGAGAATGGAGAGGAGCCCGTCCGCCCGGCGAGCTTTGACCGCGGCGAGCGAGGAGAACCCACTCGGCCCTTTCCTTCTGGAGCCAGCGTGCTGAAAGAAACCGGGAGGAATTAACAGGGGGCAAAGGAAAGGAATGGCTGATCCTCTGCGGAGGACTTTACTAGCGAAACTCCGGGGGAAGAAATCCAAGAAAGGAGCTACGGTCGGCGGTGGATACGGCTCTGCTGCTGCTGCGGCTGCTGCGGCGAATGGGGGCCGAGAAGGTAAAGAAAAAGTTTTGCAAACGCAGCGAGACTCCGACGAGGTTCGCCCGGTAGTGTTGCTCGCAGGGTTGGATTGCACGAAAGAGAGAATGAGTACATATGAGAATTGTGTTGACGGGGCGATGGTGCAAACCGGGGGGGTTGTAATAGTCCGGGAGAGTCGCGCAGCAGAGTTGGCCGGCGCACGTCTCCAGGAGCGGAGCAGCGGGGGCAGGGTTCGGGTTAATGAGGAGCTCCTGGGGGTCTCACTTCAAAGAAACGTGCAGCTTGGGGGACACGCGGTGAGGGAGGGCGATAGGAGCCACCGGGGGCCCAGAACCGGTGGCAAAATTGCGTTAACGGCGGGAGTCACGCAAGGAGAACCGCATGTCCACAGAAAACACTTCGTCTCGGTCCCGCAGCAGTGCAGCGTCGGGGATTCAATCGGGTTTGGGGACAATTCAAACCACGTTTTGTACCGAGCACGGGTAGAACCGCATACCGGGGCGGGTAAACCACCAGAGGGCCGGGTTACTAGTACTGATAGTGATGGGACAGAGCCCAGGGACAGAGGACACTCCCGGCACATGGCAGGGACAGTAGTGGCTGTGAACGAACGCAACGCCAACTGGAGTTTTGACAACCAAACTTTGGAGACAGACTCGCCAGTTTGCGCGGCACTTGCGCACCCGAACTGTGCGCCAAGAAACACGGAAGAGAACATTTTAATCAGAAACGTTGAGACTTACGGGCCCGAGTACGCAGGGGACATTAGAGGGACTGCGGGCACTCTGCAGAGCCCGACGTTTTTCCCCACAGAGTTAGAAATATGCGACATAAACATGGCATCCCTGTGCGCCACAGAGGGCTCACTCGGATACACTTTAGATAGCGAAGATGAGGATTATTATGACAATGAGATTCTGCCTTTTTATGAAACTGTGAGGGCAAAAAGTGATGGCCACAGAGCAGAGGTTGCAGAGGTTGCAGAGCTGCCGCAGCCCTGTCAGGATAAGGGTCAGCTGGATGACAGTAACAGTGCCCAGGAAACAGACAGGCTTAGGAACCAGCTGAAAGAAGCCTATTATCTTCTAATCAACGCTATGAATGATATCAACCTGGATGTCCAGCAGATTAGCGGTGGTTTAACTGAGCAGCAGGCCACCTCCTCCTGTAGTAGCCACTCCAGGGATAGCCTGTGCTCCAGGTTGTCTGCCAAAAACATGGACAGTGACTCCTGGTCCTCAGGGGGCGACCACAGCCCTCAGCAGGTGTCTGACACTGACTCACTCCTGCTTTGCCTCAGTGGAAACCTTGAGTCATGCCTCAAAGGTAGACTTAACAGTAAGAGTATGGTGAACCTCTCCTTGACCAACAAAAGACCCACGTTACTGCGCTCTGCTAGTGACGGAGCTTTCAGGTATCCAGGTGGACCCTCGCACTCTGTTCAGGCCCCTGGAACGCAGGGTCCGGTAGTCAGTGGTGAAAAAGGGGCCACAGAGACAAAAGAGGCTGAAGCCGCAGGAGTGGGTGAGCTGTCAGAGCCTCGGGCGCTTTACAATGCCATCAGCAGTGATGAGCTGCTACAGGAAGCTGGCGGTGATGAAGACCGTGGCGGGCAGCTTAACGAGAGCAGCGGCTCAGTCAACAGCCTCACAGGTTCGTCAGACAGCAACGGCGATGCATCGACACATCAGGGTCACGACAACAAGCAGGAGCTGACCGGAGTGCGAGCACAGGGGGCTAACCCTGCCAACAAGGGGCACGGTGTCACTGTCAACAAGATGCAAGAGTGGATGCACAAGGGCCGTTTGCTGTCCTCTGAGATGAAGCAGCGCATCGAGGGCTCAGCTTTGCCCCGTGGTGGAGGCCAAAGCCAGGACCGCTCCTGTCCTCAGGCTAACCTCGGTGGGTGTAAACCGGGGGTCCAGACATCCAGCCGAGGGGTTAAATCTCTCAAGACCAAGTCCCCTACAATCAAGTCACCACGGCAGCAGCAGCCAGGTAGGAAGGCCACACAGAGTGGCCTCAACTCCCGTGGATCCTCTAAATCAAAGACCTCTCACCCTCCTTCCTCCCGTCTGATTATTATCATCCTCCTCCACTCATAGTAAACTCCGTCTGGTGGCGGTCCACCCCTGCACTCTTCCTCTTCTGGATGCAAAGCAAAGGGACGAGACTCCTCAGACCTCTTTGCTTTCCTTTTTAAGACTCTCTAACCGGTGGCGGGTTCTGTCCTTCACACTAATTTAGGTGCATTTTAACACTAAATTAATAGCACATGAGGTTGTAGGTCGGATCACTCACAGTGTAGTTCAATAACTAACCAACTCACTCTCCTCCGCTAGCTGCAGTGGTGTTCTTCGTGGTGTTGGTGGTGGGGTTTGTGTGTGTGTGTGTGTGTGTGTGTGTGTGTGTGAATGTCTTTTAATTATGTACAAAATGATTTTCTGATTGTGCTTTCTTGTTGTGATGAGGTGCAAAAACAAGAAAACATCTGTATCATGAAACCAGCAACAAGTGACACATGTTAACTATCATGTTTTACCAATTGAGTATGTTTGGGTGTTTAAAATGCAACTTAAATGTGAAATAGTCAGAGGTCCATTTAGTGGCTGTTCTGGAGCTTTTCAGTCATCATCAGCAGATGTCATGGAATTAACCTCAGAAACTGTAGTAGACAAAATAATCTCACCGTGTGGTCCATTAACTACTTATTATCAGCTATTATTTACATTTACATTCATTGATTCACCTTGCAGTGATGGTAACCTACAGTACTGCAGTACATTGCATATGAATTTAGCTACGCTTTCACTGTGTGTAGCGCCTGGTTGTACAAAATGAATTGCACTTTTTGTCCATGCTGACCTGAATTGACTGCAAACAAGGCAGTTCGCCAGTTCAATCATAGGATTCGGAAACAGTCTGTGTGGAAAACTTTGTATTGACATTTGTTGCTCAGTTTGTGGAAATGGGTTCGCTTTGTATGGATCAAAAACATATCACCGTCTCTTTATTCTACCACTCCTAGTTTTGTAAGTGTTTGGATGCGTGTGCGTGCCTGTGACCGTGTGTGTGTTGTTCTGACTGTGTTTTTCAGTAAATAGATGACCTGCCATGTGCGCAGGCTGTTGTTGACTGTCAGTGTGCTGTGCTGCTAGAAATAGAGTGTGATATCTGAGGCTTCTGAGCGGAAGGCCTCTGTGTTTGACTTCCAGCCCGCGGTTGGCTCAACATAGCTCCAACTTTTTACATCTCAAGCTCTTTCCTCTGCTGTCTTTTAGTTAGAATAAAGACAGGACTCTTCTTGATTTTAGTTTTCAAGGTCTCTTTAACCCCTTGATTCTCATTTTTTCCCCATTTTGCACAGCTTTCCCCTCTCTGTCCCCACTGAACTTTTCCACAGCTGTGGCCAGAGGAATCTAAAGCAGGAGAGAAGCCACAGCAGTTACTCTCTGTGTTACTCTGGTAGTGGTGTGTGTGTGTGTTTGTCTGTGTGTGTGTTTGTTTTGAGAATATGGGGGGGGTTGTTGGGCTGTCATGTTGCCTTCCTCCCCAGTCGTTTGCTCTGGACAGCTCCATGGTAACTTGCATTTTAAAGAGACTTTGGATTGAATATTTAGGATGCCATTCCTGTTGTTTAACTTGTTTGCGTTGTGTCACTTAATTCCTCACCATGAATGAACAAAATGAAGGGTGATTAAGTATTTATTAAGGTCAGCCCTGGGCTTATCTTGCCCCTGTGGGCCTCTCAGTGCCTCACAAAGAGCCATTTAAAAAAAAAAAAGAAAAAATAAA